GACCACGTCTACAGATTTGTTAGAAGGCCCACAATAAATAACTTGGGGCGGTGCTTTGTATGCTACAGCGCATTCAGTGTCACCAGTGTCTTTTTCCAAAACCTTGCCCGATTTTAACCGTTTGTTTCGCTCTGCGAACCAGTATGCGATGTGCACTCCAGTTACGGTTTTACCAGTGCCTGAAAAATATGAGATACTTTGAGTTGTATCTCCACGGCAACCCGTGAAAATGCTGCCGCCTAATAGCTGTTATGTCCTGCTTGAGATCTAGTGATGGAAAGTCTAAACTTGGGCACTCAAAGACTCATGGTCAAGGGTAAAATCTGAATTAAGCTCATGCCTTCCGTTATGAAGTATTTGTGAAAAAAAAATCAACAACAATAAGAAAAAAAACAAAAAAACAAAAAAACAATGGGATCCAGATTTGATCAGGAAACACAATGTAGTGCAGTGACATTGCGTACAATGCATACATCTGATAAACATTGCATTAGTGTGTGTCCACCCCTTAAAATTGCACGAAACAGTACAACATTTTTGCTGCGTCAGCAATGTTTCGAAATGTTGCCTGGCAAATTGCAATATGTGGCTATGTAGACTAAAGCTGTTTCGTACAATACATGTTTTCAATGTTCAGCATAAACAGAGGGAAAATTGGAAAATCATGTAGCTACTCGATGAGCTACAGCGAATGCAAACTATTCTCTACCTTCATACTGATATCTTCCAGCGGGTACGTAGTAATAAATCGTATGAAGCCAAGAGATTAAACACATGACGTACCTGGTGGGCCTTGGATCAGTGTAAATGGCTTGGACAGCGCTTCCCTCACTGCAGTCTCTTGATACCGATTCAACTTGTGAAATCCGTGTTGCATCAAAGACAAGTTGGAAGGGATCTCGTCGCCATAATTTTCTAAAGAAAGGAAAATAAAACATTTTATAATGATGACGAAACTGCTGATGAACAGCCCCGATCCCAGGCCGTTTCCCTCACTTGGAGGCGGGGCCAAGTGAGAGAAAGGGCCCTGGGATCGTCGGTGATCTTAAAGTTTTTAGTAACTCACGTCTCCAGCATTTGGTCTTAATTAGTCTCTTCTTAATGACATCAATCGTATCACTCTGCTTGGTTTCAATCTTTTTACCTTGACTTTTAGTGACAGTTGTGACCTGAATGTCCTCGTACGCTCCTTTCAAAAGCTCAGTGATTTTGCTCCGCTGTTCTCTGTAAGGCGACAAAATAACCACATCCGACATGCGCACTCGTGGCCTGTGACGGTTGACAAGGTATTTTGCAATTTGAACCTACAAAGAAAAAAAGCGCGCATGTTTGGTAGAGTAGTAATGATAACAAGAATTTGCGTGACTTCTGCTCTCACACCAGTTTTGCTTTAAAAATCTGAACTATCGTGCAGTTGCTATAGGGTCGTTTTCATGCATTTTTAGTAGTCTTCTGCTTACGTTAACGAGCGAGAGAACGACGTTTTCAAGATTTAAACAAAATGTTACCATTATTTTCGAAAGTCGCAAATTTTCAGGGCATCACCATTTTTGAGCTTCTTTTATTACACGTAAGTAGTTCGAAACGAAAGGAATCGAAACGCGTTAAAGTTGGACGACTTATCCACTACGCAACGTTGTGTGCAAAAGTAATACCTGTCTGATTTAAAACGAAATATTCCTAATATATGAATTAATGTTAGTTATGCCACTGGTTTAGACGGACTCTAAAACTTTAAGTCATTGAAGCAAAAACGAGTTTGAGAAAACTTAATGGGCTAAATTTCGCAGCCCATTTTATTGTTTGGTTCTCTTCTAAAGCCATTATTTTTTTCCAACAGGCTATGCAAACGATAATCTCCTACCCAAATCTCACTCTGTTTGACGCTGGCCGTAGGAGATCTCGGCTCGAGATTATGCAAGCGACCGTAATGACCACCTGATGGATAAATTTCACATACCGCCTTCCTGACTTCCTTCATGTTCCTCTTTGATTCTTCATTGCTTTCTGACGTGCTAATGACAGACGACTCTTCTTGTCCTTCAACGTGACAGAAGGCAATGGGAAGATTCCTCTGCCGGCGTACCTGCGCCGGCCAAAAGGTCACGGGGCTAGGATCACGTGACTTAACTGAGTCAGCTGTTTGAAGCTTTCCGCCATAAAAATGTTTTGATGGAAATTCACATATTCCATCGTGCTAGGAAGAAAAACAGGCAAGGAACGTTAAACGAATAATTTCTTGTTGTACAAGCACAATAGTGAATCGAAGATCTTGCTGATTCAGGAAAATATTTCTGATTCAGGAGAAACAAGGTTTACGTATAACTCTGAGTTACTAAATATGACATTTTTGCTTGGTCTTTTACGATTNAAAATGCAGGATTTGCATTAGTCCACTAGTTGGGTGATACTAATTTTGCTTAGTCTTTTACAGTTTTAAGGGAATTTCAACATACACTCTCTTTTAAAGGCGTGCGTTAATTATAAACGGTTGCCCCATTTGTGTAGCGCTTGGCATTAGGACACAAAATTGCAGCCTTCTTTCAACTGAATGTCTTTTTTTACACTTAATGCTTATGTGTTTCATACTACTCACCATTCTGTACTGTAGCGCCAACATCTTAGCTCGATTAGAATGCCTTTCGAACATGGACACACTCAAACCAAGTGTTTTTGCCACGTGGTCCTGAATGACGGGCTGTAATTGTTTGTGATCGCCAATCAAAACCACTTGGCGTGCTCCTGAGCACGTGATTGGCACGAGTGACTCAGGTTCCATGCACATGCCGCACTCATCCACAATGCATTGCTGGATGTTGTCACAGGATTTGGTTAGCCTTGGACTTCCCGATGCTGCGCATGTGCAAAGAATGATCTGAACTCCAGATTCTTGAAGAGCCCAATTCTCGGCCTGTCCAATTAGCTTTTGAAAAGGAAATGAAAAAAGAAATTAAGAAATGAAAAATTTGGTATATGCTAACTTAACAATTTTTTTCACCATTTTCTTTAATATTTTCGTCTTGAAATGGCGCTGTCATATTTACTGATGTTTTTATATTGTGTCTTCGGCCAAAGTCCAGAGCAAGCAAAAGCCCCGTCCTTTTATTCTATCCCAAATTAAATCGCTTGAGTTATACATAAAACAAAAAAAAAAATGAAATGAGTAAGAACCAGCATAGTCATGAGCACAATTCAATCTTGCAGATGCACGTGAGCAAATTCAGAATTTACTGTTGGGCGCGTTTAAAATTGTAAATAAATTTAAAGTGCAAATTTGTTACTGTTACTAAAGTAATCGCAGAAAGCTCTTTATTGGTGTTTTACTCAAATTTAAGTAGCTGTCATCATCAATAATTATTACATAGTTAGGAAACAGGATTAGTATGTGAACCTTTTTTTTCAGGAGTTTGTATACGTAATACGGCAAAATTGCTCCCCTTCTCTCTCACACCCTTTCCCGTGGAGGAGACAAAATCAATCCATGCTTTGAGTTTTCTGTGATAATTTCTTAGGTTCGTACGTTCATTTAAAATTTCACATTTTCACTCACCTTGCAATACTCATTGACTTCCTTTAGCCCTATACGCTCTTTCCTTGCTTTGCTCTGTTCGAATCCCTCTTCATATTGTCGCAGCTGCTCGGAAAACGGGCACACAGGCCCACGAATCACGTGATGAAGAGACACGCATCGTATTTTTTCGCTGGAAATCTTTAATTCGTCCTCACTCCTCGTAGTTCTGGGTGGCTTCAGCTTGTTGGGAACTGGAAATTCCTTTTGCTCAATTTGATCACTGTAAACTCGGAGAACCTTCAGATTAGGAATCTTCAAAAGATACTCTGCAAAAAGGTGAGAAAAGAGGTAAAGAGAAAGTCTATGCTGCCTTCGAAGTGTCGATCAGTTTTGACTTAAACGGCAGTCTCAATAGGACAGCGACATTAAGTTTTGCGGCGTTTAAAACTGAGCGCATTAAAGAATGTTAATTATAATTTTATTAACGAACAGATGAAAAATATGTATGTAGGTGTGCTAAATCTCACTTGAAACTAGAGATTATTCTCCAGTTTAGGCTTAAAAATACACAAAATTGTCGGTTTTGTGCTGTAATCCTTTGGAGTGTCTATACCAAAACAATTAGACTACTCACCCTGGTTTCCTATGAGCGATATAGTGAACTCGGCTACGCTTCGTTGGTTACAGTCGCTCATAGATAACGAATAGTCTAATTTTTAAAATAGCATTCTGACCACGGGGAACTAACAACACAAGTTTTGCACTGTTCATGCCAAATGTGACTGGACGTAGAGCGCCGAAATTTTTCAATACTCCTTATCGACGGTTTCCAACAATATCAGGGGACATGACGCGATATAACAAATTAGGAACAGCCCACCTGTGACCACGTCGACAGATTTGTTAGAAGGCCCACAATAAATAACTTGGGGCGGTGCTTTGTACGCTCCAGCGCATTCAGTGTCACCAGTGTCTTTTTCAAAAACCTTGTACGATTTTAACCTTTTGTTTCGCTCTGCGAACCAGTATGCGATGTGCACTCCAGTTACGGTTTTACCAGTGCCTGAAAAAATAAGATACTTTCAGTTGTGTTCCCACGGCAACGCGTGAAAATGCTGTGGCCTAATAGCGGTTATGTCCTGCTTGAGATTTAGTGATGGGAAGTCTAAGCTTGGGCATTCAAGGACTCATGGTCAAGGGTAAAATCTGAATTAAGCTTAAGTCTAAGAAGAAGTATTTTTGAAGAAGTTAAGAAGTATTTGTGAAAAAGATGGAACCCAGACCAAGAAACACAATGTAACAGTCATATTGCGTACAATGCATATGTCTGATATACGTTGCATTAGTCTGTGTCCAGCCCCGAAAATGTTGAGCGGCAAACAGTACAACTTTTTTGTCGCGTCAGCAATTTTTCGAAATCTTGCCTGGCAAATTGCAATATATGGCTATGTAGACTAAAGCCGCTTCCCACAATACATGTTTTCAATGTTGAGCATTAACAGAGGAAAAATTGGAAAATCATGTTGCTACTCGATAAGCTACAGCGAATGCAGACTATTCTCTACCTTCACGCTGATATATTCTAGCGGGTACGTGTCAATAGATCATATGAAGCACGAGATGAAACGCATGACTTACCTGGTGGGCCTTGGATCAGTGTAAATGGCTTGGACAGCGCTTCCCTCACTGCAGTCTCTTGATACCGATTCAACTTGTGAAATCCGTGTTGCATCAAAGACAAGTTGGAAGGGATCTCGTCGCCATAATTTTCTAAAGAAAGGAAAATAAAACATTTTATAATGATGACGAAACTGCTGATGATGAAGAGGACCATGATGATGATGATGACGATGCTAAAGATGACAATGACGGCGATGATAACGATGCTTATTTTGATGATAATAANAATTCGTTCTAAAAATAGAAAATTGTCCCATATCATAGGGACAGCCTCAATACTAGAAATGGCGCGCGCTTACGGTATCCGTCCCCGACTATGGCTCCTGGTTTCACCCAAGCGACAATATTTCTCACAGAACGTATTGTTATTGGTGTAATAATTAATGCTCGTACAAGAGGAACAAATAAAATATTTTTCTATACTCAATACTCATACCTTTGAGGAAGTGTCCTATGAATGAGTTCTAAAGTACTTCTGTGACCTCTTTCATGTGTGAGCCAATCGGGAATGTTAGATGACGTCTGATGAAACTCCAACTGCACTTCCACTATCCTTAGTTCTTTTATGTGGGTTACTTTTTTGAGAATGCAGTGCACTACCCAGAAGTCATTAGCTTGCTTGTTGTCACCAGACCATTGAGCATCTGCAGAGGGCTGTGAAAAAACAAAGAAGTGAAATAAACTCCCTAGTTGCAGGCAAGTACCAAGTTAACAAACCTATACTTACCTTTCTTTCATTTGACGTTTCATCGCCAGAAACCGAATCCCTGTCACAGTAGGGCACACGGATGCATGCAAGGTCTCCTGAGAAAAACGTCAGCTGTCTGCTATCGCAGTAGTTCCAGGGAAGAGTAAATAATCCGCTTATGTTGTCATCTTCAAGCTCGTTTTTCCATGTCACGTTAANGGGTTTTACTCCATTATATTTCAATGAAGCATTGTGCTTGAAAAAAAAAACAAAAACAAGCAAACAAACATAATAAACTCCCTAGTTGCAGGCAAGTACCAAGTTAACAAACTTATACTAACCTTTCTTTCAGTTAAAGTTTCATCGCCAGAACCCGTGTCATTGTCACAGTATGGCACACGGATGCATGCAAGGTCTCCTGAGAAAAACGTCAGCTGTCTGCTGTCGCAGTAGCTCCAGGGAAGGGTAAATAATCCGCTTACGTTGTCATCCTCGAGATCGTTTTTCCATGTCACGTTAAGGTCTTCAATAATGAACCCATCGTTCTCTTTGACGGCTTCCGTCGCAGCCTCCATTGCAAGTACTGGTTTCCAAGCCTTTATGTATTTATCAATAGTCCCGTACCGCTCTCTTGATGCCTGATGTCTGGCTGTGTGCGCAAATGACTCCCTCGGGTATCTGTGGTGCTCGATGCAAATGTTGATGTGAGGATCCGCCTTGAACATTTGAATATCTGGTTGTAGAATTCCCCGNTCTCAATACTCATACCTTTGAGGAAGTGTCCTATGAATGAGTTCTAAAGTACTTCTGTGACCATTTCCATGTGTGAGCCATTCCGGAATGTTTGATGCCGTCTGATGAAACTCCAGCCGTACTTCCACTATCTTTATTTCTTTTATGTTGGTTACTTTTTTGAGAATGCAGTGCACCACCCAGAAATCATCAGCTGGCTTGTTGTCACCAGAACTTTGAGCATCTGCAGAGGGCTGTGAAAAAACAAAGAAATGAAATAAACTCCCTAGTTGCAGGCAAGTACCAAGTTAACAAACCTATACTTACCTTTCTTTCATTTGACGTTTCATCGCCAGAAACCGAATCCCTGTCACAGTAGGGCACACGGATGCATGCAAGGTCTCCTGAGAAAAACGTCAGCTGTCTGCTATCGCAGTAGTTCCAGGGAAGAGTAAATAATCCGCTTATGTTGTCATCTTCAAGCTCGTTTTTCCATGTCACGTTAAGGTCTTCAATAATGAATCCATCGTTCTCTTTGACGGCTTCCGTTGCAGCTTCCATTGCAAGTACTGGTTTCCAAGCCTTAATGTACTCATCAATGGTCTCATACCGCTCTCGTGATGCCTGATGTCTGGCTGTGTGCGCAAATGACTCCCTCGGGTATCTGTGGTGCTCGATGCAAATGTTGATGTGAGGATCCGCCTTGAACATTTGAATATCTGGTTGTAGAATTCCCCGTGTCATGTGAGGGCAGAGCTGTACAGAAAAGAATTCGCACTTTCTCAGTGCAATGCTCTTCTCATAGAAATGGTCTGCCGTCTCTTCAGATGACGGTGCTGCCTCTTCATTGTGATGAGGGTGCTTGTAATGCATACCACGAACATTGTGAGGCGACGTGGGTTGAGGTGGCTGGTCTCTTCCACGAGAAGCAGACAAGATACCCAATTTTGTTTCCGTTTGCTTGACGATAGCTGCCAGCTTGTCATCATCGTTGGCCCTTACGGCATCAAGTACACGAAGCCAGATATCCGAAGGGATCTCTGCTACTTCACCACCACCACCACCACCACCACTGTAACCAGGCTTGTTTTCTTTCTTTGTCTTGCTTCTGGCATCTGGTGCTATATACTTTCTAAATTTCCATTTGAGAACGATAGTCTTCTCTCTGCCCTTGCTTTCCTCTTCTTCTTTCAAGTCCACTAAATTGAGATGACTTAGAAGCACTCGTTTCTGTTTTCCCGCCAATTGGTCGTCTTCGTGGTTGGAAATATGAAGACTTATTGACTTATGTTCGATGGATTCAATGAAAACACGTGTCTCACGGCATCGCTGTTGAAGCTGGTTTGCCATATGAATCCTCTTGCAATGCTTTTCAAACTTTCTTGCGTTGTCACGCATGAAAGTAGAGCGGCGACATGCCTTCGCTATGTCGTCTTTAGAAGGGCTTTCTGCGTAACAGCTGCCAGACTGCAAAGCAAGAAGGAGTCGATGCACCACAATATCGATATATCGCCTTATCGGGGACGTGAAATGTGTGTAGCATCGAGTTCTCAGAGAGTAGTGGAAGATATTATCGGGTGGTTGATCCCCTTCACAAACGTACCGAGACTCAGACTGGATTCGGCGAAAGTTGGACATGGCCACAGCAACCTGGGGGTGGTTGTTCTCGTNTGTGAGGATCCGCCTTGAACATTTGAATATCAGGTTGCAGAATTCCCCGTGTCATGTGAGGGCAGAGCTGTACAGAAAAGAATTTGTACTTTCTCAGTGCAATGCTCTTCTCATAGAAATGGTCTACCGTTTCTTCGGATGACGGAGCTGCCTTTTCGTTATGATGAGGATGCTTGTAAGGCACACCACGACCAGTTTGAGGTGACCTGGGTTGACTTGGTTCGTCACTTCCTCGAGAAGTGGACAAAATACCCAATTCCGTTTCCGTTTGCTTGATGATAGTTGCCAGCTTGTCATCATCGTTGGCTCTAACGGCATCAAGTACACGAAGCCAGATATCCGACGGGATCTCTACTACTTCAGCAACACCACTGCTATCATTCTTGCTCACTCTCGCCGTCTTGCTTCTGGCATCTGGTGCTATATACTTTCTAAATTTCCACTTGAGAACAAGAGTCTTCTCTCTGCCCTTGCTTTCCTCCTCTTCTTTCAAGTTCACTAAATTGAGATGACTTAGAAGCACTCGATTCTGTTTACCCGCCAATTGGTCGTCTTCGTGGTTGGAAATATGAAGACTGATTGACTGATGTTCGATGGATTCTATGAAAACACGTGTCTCACGGCATCGCTGTTGAAGCCGGTTTGCCATACGAATCCTCTTGCAATCCTTGTCAAATTTTCGAGCGTTGTCACACATGAAAGTAGAGCGGCGACATGCCTTGGCTATGTCATCTTTAGAAGGGCTTTCTGCATAACAGCTACCAGATTGCACGGCAAGAAGGAGTCGATGCACCACAATATCGATATATCGCCTTATCGGGGACGTGAAATGTGTGTAGCATCGAGTTCTCAGAGAGTAGTGGAAGATATTATCGGGTGGTTGATCCCCTTCACAAACGTACCGAGACTCAGACTGGATTCGGCGAAAGTTGGACATGGCTACAGCAACCTGGGGGTGGTTGTCCTCGTTGCAAATCAGCTGCTGGAGCCTGGGTAGATCACTTGAGTCCACTGCATGACACATTGCACTCCAAACCGACCTTTGGACTTTAAACCTGACCCTCTCGTCTTGAAGCAAGCTCAGTGTCGAGGTTTCGGTAGTTTCGTTCTTAAACATTTCTGAAAACTTAAGCGACAATCTTGCGTACTTGCCGTGCATTTCAATCCACTCGGCTAGTCTGTGATCCTTTGGAGGTAGCTGAATCCTCAGAGGTGCCAATTCGGAGCTCTTTTGTGACAAGAGCTTAGCGATTTCCTCATTAGCAAGGATCATCATTTCTTCGACAAGCTCGTGGGCTTCAAAGCCGTCATCGCCTCCCTCATTTTGCCAGTGATCAAAAGCACAGTCTCCCAAACGAAGTCGTCTTCTTTTTTGAGCCAGGGAGCTCAATTGCCTGATCTTCTCCATAATCTCCTCCGGCATGTCTTCGATACTTGAGACGCTGGAACAATGAATGACCTTTTGTGCCTCGGCATAAGTCAGCCGACAACAGGATCGGATAATGGTGCGTTTTATACTTGGCTCAGCAGTTAACTTTCCTTCTTCGTCTAAGTTGACAAACACGGATACTGCTAGACGGTCTTCATTGGGCAGCAGGCTGCAAACATTTTCACTCAGCTCACGCGGCAACATTGGGATATTTTCTTGCCCGTCACCAGGATAATAAGAGGTGCAACGGAGAAAAGCTTCTTGATCTAAGGGGCTGTTTGGCTTCACAAAGAAACTGACATCAGCAATGTGTATCCCTACCACAAAAGTGGAAGAAGATGCATCTTTCTCTATCGTCAGGGCGTCATCGAGATCCAAGGACTTGGGAGGGTCAATGGTAAAAGCCCCAACAACCCTGGTTCGATTTTTGCGTTCTGTCTCAGGAACGGACCATTTTAGTGGGAAGTTTTCTTTGACATATTTCTTTGTCTCTTCCTTGAATTCCCGTCGTATTCCACGGTCCGCGTAGGCGATCTCCATGCTACTTTTCAAGTCTTCTCCTCTGGACAGGGTTCTTACGACGATTCCGAGAGGACAGCTGAAGTCTCTCCTCCACTGAAGGTACTTGACAACAAACAGGTACTTCCCACTGAGGACTTTCTCTCTTTTCATCATCCTGACTTGTGTTGCCCTTTCGTTTTGATCCTTCTTGTAGATTGGTATGTCCTTGCAGCTCTTGTCTGTTAGATTCACCAGTTTGGTGGCCGACTTGTTTATAGGCACCATCAGGACAGGATTTTCATAATCGGTACTACATACAAACTGGCGCTCGTGTGGAGGAATGATGTGTTCCAATACACCTGAGGAAAAGAGAATTAATTCTCGCAAGTCAAACGACCACTACTAAATATTACAACAGATGAATTAAGGAGCAATAATAAGTCTTGTTTAAGACCAAAATATTGTTGTGTTGGCTTGTTTCAACCAGACTGCTTGCATCAGTTGTCAGTTAGTTCAAACAACATCTAGAACGCTGGTGGTCATCGCAACTTGTACGTTTCGAAAGATAAGAAAAAAAAGCGACGTATATCGACAAGATCAACTTTTCAAAAGCAATGAAATGCTTGCGGGCGCCGGAGTCTTGCTAACATAAAGTAACATATTTAGCGAAATTTATAATCGTAAACTACTACCTGCTCAAAGGTGAGGCAATTCAAAGAGACTCATTCAACTTTCTTCTCAATTTTTGAAACAACATTCAAGTTGGTGAGGAAAAAGTAAGCCGTCGCTTGCTACTTTTTTAAAGTTCCTTTAACCTGGTTTCGGCACATGTCTCCCTAATAAAATTTCAAATTTAATGCCGACCAGAATCCTCATGAACACTCCAGAATTTCATCGCATTTTGGACCACGATAGTAGAAAAAAGACCGCATTTACTTACCCACAACCTTTCCTTGTGCTAGAGGTCCGCTGTTCTCGTCCTGTGAACGAACTTTCTTTTCAACCAACTCCACAACAACCTTGTCTTTATCAAATGCCTGGCGGATCTTTCCTTTGATACTGATGGAAGGGGTCTTCGTGTCTTCTACGTCTGCATATCCTATCTGGGACCTCTCCGGACTTAGACGAAGATTGCAGACGATGTATTTCTCTGGTTCGTCTTTAAGAAGCTTCTTTAAGACCGAAGGATCTAGGAATTCCTGTTGCTTAGANAACAAGAGAAGCGCTCCGGAAAAGGTCGAAAGACTAGAAAAACCAGAAAGGATCGGGGTGGGGGGCAAGATTGGAGACGCAAGTGTCGAAAATGTCGGAAATGGACAGATGTTGGTCTAACGCGACCATTACCAAAATTTGGAACTTGCTAAATTTTTGCCAATTTTTTCCTCGTTAAAAATTGGAAGTATTTGAATCCGCTCTAATAGGACCCGGCCCGTCTCATGACGCTAACGTAGTTAAGCGATAATGGATACGTTTGGCAGAACATGAAAGTGTACAGAGTCGTTGCTATTCATTACTTGAAACCTGACGCAGCTATACGCACAAAAGGTTCGTTTCTGCCAGCTTGTGGTTTCTGCGCTGGTCAAATAACAATTTATGAGGTCATGTAAGAATTGAAACTCCATATCCCGGTCTGTTTCCCTTACGAATCCTGCATCCCAACCCTATAAAAACACGAAATACCGCTCCCGCTCGTAATTTTACCTCCCGCTTTCCGCCCCTGTTTTCAGCTCAAATCCCAAATATCACGGCGAAAAAAAGCCAAATCCCGCATCTCGCCAAACCTATTGGGGACCCTCTTATGAACACTCCAGAATTTCATCGCATTTTGGACCGCGATAGTAAAAAAAGGTCGCATTTACTTACCAACAACCTTTCCTTGTGCTTGAGGTCTGCTGTTCTCGTCCTGTGAACGAACTTTCTTTTCAACCAACTCCACAACAACCTTGTCTTTATCGAATGCTTGGCGGATCCTTCCTTTGATACTGATGGATGGGGTCTTCGTGTCTTCTACGTCTGCATATCCTATCTGGGACCTCTCCGGACTTAAACGAAGATTGCAGACGATGTATTTCTCTGGTTCGTCTTTAAGAAGCTTCTTTAAGACCGAAGGATCTAGGAATTCCTGTTGCTTAGAGGATATCATGATTTTCTGAGCTCTTTCAGAGGGAGAGGTGTAAAAGCCAAGATTTGTAAGACGCACTTCAACGCGACCGTTTACAACTCGCACTTCTGGGAATAGACTTTTTATGTCAGCACCACCCTTGAATGACACACGCTGTGCTTCATTGACTGGTTGATGTTTGACATTGACATCTTTCGCTGCTTGTAGAGTAGGAAACTCCGAATCTTCAAACATTGATGCTCGTTGCGCATCCATCTGCAATGTTTCCTCGCATTTTTTCACAAACGCAAGAATAATTTCGTCCATATCTCTGGGAAATATGGTCTCATCTTCAAGAAGGTCGTCTTGAAAGTCCCCTGATTCAGCAATTTCGTCATCCTCGTCTTCCTCTGTCTCTTTTTTTTCTTGGTACTGAGCGGTGGTGTCAACACATGCGCCAGATTTTCCGTCCTGACCATCGTTTTCAGTGACATTTCCATTAATTTCTTGTCGATGATGCAATTCCCTTCCTTGGGTCTCTGATGGCTGGGCTTCTCCTACATTCTCTACTTGTCTTTTCCCTTCCTCAGTATCTTCATTCCTCAGGGCTCCTTCCTCTTGAGTGTCCTCTACCGTGGAATTTATTTCCTGTGTCTTCGGGAAGGTTGGGACGAACGCCTGTGCCTTTGGGTTAAGTTCGATACTGGCAATAGATGCGTTTATTTCTTTATCTAGTTCCTCCAATGACGTCCCATGAAGCCCTCCTCGTTTACTACATCTTTTGATGTAGTCTCTCCAAATGCTGCGACAATCTCCTACTGTGCAGAGAGAGACAGGATCTCCAATAACAGCTACCAAACACCTTGCCCTTGTCACGGCTGTATTCAGCAGTTTTGGATCCGACAAAAATTCCCAGTACAATTGTCGATCAGATCCACTGGAACGTAACTCTTGCTGTTGGGGCTTGCAAGTGTGAAATGTGCGAACGGTACTGATGAAAAGAACACGGAATTCTTCCCCTGAAGTTGAAGGCATGAAATAGATTAGTGAGTTACAATTTAGATTAAGTTATTGTTACAAAGTATGAGCAATTGTAGGGACTATTTGTAGCTTTCCTGTCGGCTGGTTAAGGGTTTTATGCAAAGTAAGTGATCGACAAAAGAGAACTTTGACGAGGCCGCATTGAAGTTTCTGGAATCGTCTTCTAGGAGAAGTAAAATTTACCTTGTACATTGTGAATTGTATCCACCTTAACATCCCTCAGATCTGGGTCCTTTCGTAGACTGTTTCGTATGGCTTGTACCTAAGCGTTATAAAAGTTTGGTTGAACTTTGATTGAATTCTCAATATTATCATGTAGCAAGCAAGAAATCTGCGACTAAATCAACAATAAGTCTATGACTGATCTGCCTTTCCCACATACCGGAACTTAGTTTTCTCCAAAAGAAATATAGCTCGAGGGTAGCGATCAAAGATCAAATATTTCTATTAGCACTCACCTAGTAAGAAAAACGTTTGTTAAAAAGTAAACCATTACAAACCGCAGGGTTAACTGGTGACGTCGACGTCAGTATGTACAAAAAGCAACTCCATTTACATAAAGGTATGGAAAACAATTTCAATTTTACCTGGTAACGATAAGAGGAGAGCACTGCGATATCAGATAGTTTCTTGGGACCCCAAACAGTTTCAGGCCAACTGTCTGCAAGCTCTTTCACCCTCTTAGCCACTTCGAAAACCTCAGACAGATTGATGTACGAGTTGTCGTGCTCCTTCTTTTCTTTGCCACGGGCGGAGAAGAATAACAAGGGACCGTATTTCGGGTGCTCTGGCTGTAACTCATGTCCACGAGCAACCAATTTTTCTCCGTAGAAGTTGTCAGAGGGAAATTGGAGGATATCCTTGTGGCATCGATAATTTTCAGTCAGGAACAAGACATTGGGGTTTTCCTTCGGGTTGTCATTTGATGCTTCAGTCTTGCGTTTGTCGTAAACGTCAAACAACCTCTCAGCCAGTGATTTTTGGAGACCCAGACTTCTTGCTTGAGGTGAATAAACTTCTGGGCTCATCTAGCATAGTCGCACCACAAAAGAAAAACGTCACAAAAAATTTATTTAAAGGTGAAGTGTCTTTTCTGTGCCTGTTAGGAGACTGTGGATTAGCTGCGTTAGATAAAGCATTTAATGCTTAATTCCACAATAGCTGGCTTATACATGTGTAGCTAATTAAGACAGCAATCCAGTGTTTTTATTTGGAAAGAAGTCCCAAACATCATTAGTAAGTACGCTGAATTCAACTTTACCTGCATGTGATCGCCTGTGAAGACAACTTTTGTGTTNAACCTCTCAGCCAGTGATTTTTGGAGGCCCAAACTTCTTGCTTGAGGTGAATAGACTTCTGGGCTCATCTAGCATAGGCGCACGGCAAAAGAAAAACGTTAGAATTAAGTTATTTAAAGGTGAATTAATAAATAAACTGAATTAATAAATAAACTATTGAATTGTCTTTTCTGTGCCTGTTAGGAGACTGTGGATTAACTGCGTTACATAAAGCATTTAAAGCTTAATTCCATAACAGTGAGCTTGTACGTGTGAAGCTAATCCAGTGTTATGTATGCCACCAGTTCTTTGTTCTCAGTTTTAACTGGAAAGAAGTCCCAAACATCGTTAGTAAGTACGCTGAATTCAACTTTACCTGCATGTGATCGCCTGTGAAGACAACTTTTGTGTTTGGCCCTGCGAAGATCAGCGGAGTCAATGCTTCGGGCTCAAGAGCTTGGGCAGCCTCGTCGATTAGGATATGAGTGAAGAATCCATGTAACACTTGCAGATCAAGAAGCACCAGTGAAGTGCTCAGGGTTGTAACCACTACCCGATGTTCAACCAAGTCGTCACGAGAAGGTAACACGAACGTGTCATTCCTGATCAAACAATATTTCCTTGCTGTCTCGGATGCCGTTTCTAGTCTATCGTTGGTATGAAAAAAAGAAAAATTATTAAATTTTTTATGAGGGTGCATGGTTTGGAATAACTTAACAACGTTAAGGGATGCGGTGAAGATGTGTGGATATAAGATATTTTTTATGTTGTCAAAAGTTTAAAAACATTAACTGTGAGCTAGATGTTTCTATCGGATAATAGTTGGACAGGGACGAAAGCTGAACCTGTTGTCATTCGACAGAAACTGAAACTGGATGGCATTACAGCTTTAGCAAAACCCAGCTGATAATATATTTAGGTAAAGAATATCGATATGCGATAAACTCGTTTATCCAGATTTCAGCTACAACGATGATGGGATTTTTAGTTATGCGCTGGGTTATACTAATCGAAAAAGTAAATAGAAGCGCGAAAAAAAAAAAAAATTACGTTTTGAGGAATGTTGGGTACACAACCAAGTAAAACAGACAAGAGAACATCAGTGGACGTTTGGGAGAATGAGAAATGCTGCGGACACACTGCGAAAAAGGCAAAGGAGAAGAAGTCATTTAGCTCGATTATCAAAATGTCATTTCTTTTTCTCGCTCCAGCGTTACGTCAGCAGCTCGCGCTATCGAATAATAGAAGTACAGCTTCGTTTTTGAGTGCTTATCATTTATATTGTAGTTCTACCTTCTCATAGGCTGATAAACCCTCAAAGGCCTTGCTGCTGGTATGCCGTTCTTCTTCGTCAGGTACTCATGCAACAACTCCACGTGTATATCTGCTGCACGGTTTGAGTGGGTGCAAAGTAGGATCCTGTGAGACTTGTCCACTTGTACCAAGAGACGAACAGCTTGATACAGAGTAAAAGTCTTACCTGTCCCAAAAGGACCAAACACAACCAGAGGCGGAGCGTTGTACTCGGGCAAAGCAATTCGCTCGATAACTTCCTTTTGATTCTTATTAAGCCTTTCATCGAGAAGCCACTGCCAACGGATTTTGATCTACAATTTTAACATTTGTTACTCATTACTCCTAAGATACATTGGCAAAGTTTTTAAAAGGTATTTGTTCTGATAAACAAATATGGGGGACAATATGTCAAAGTATAAGTTTTTGAGGAATAACAGAATTAACACCCAGATTTAAATTACTCCTTTTTGAAATCTATTTAAACTCTGTAAACGAACCAGTCTACTTGATCAAAGCTTGACATTATTCACTATTCTCCTTGTGCGAAAAAAAAAAAGCTTAAAGTTATTTAGCGACTGGGGATGTTATCGTGTAACCTGCAAATAAATATACTGTTCTTTTATTTTATCGAAAATTATTACTTACATCACTTTTGACAGGCTCAGTTCTTGGTTCGGGGAAAATAAGCCGCAATTGCCCTTTGGTGAGCCTATCAACGGCTGCGTGCATTTCACAAAGTGGCGTGCGGTTCAGCTGGAACTGGGCATTTACATCAGTATCACAGGTATCATACAGCTTCAGGTCGGAGCACATCTTGGACGACAGTCTCAACACAACGCATTCACTCTCCACTTTCTCCACAGGAGCCTCGTAGACTTTGTTAGAGACACTGTCAGCAACCTGGAGCCAAACTGAGCTGACGTTACGGTACAGAAGTCGACCAGCGGCATCATCAGGTCTCAGCGCATCTTCCTCTTGCAAGTAGAGGACACCGAACAATTCACCATCCACTGCACACTTCATTCCAGTCCTTTCGTCGAAAATGTTCCATTGAGCATGTAACTGGGTTTTAGTCAAGGTGTACCTATATGAAAGGGAAAAAGTTTATACCCTTATTTTCGCTTAGTTTTGTTATGGGGTTAATTAAGAGTCTTATGAGTAGGATTTAAGAGCTGATGTTTTAAGCGATATTCTTCCTAAAAAAAAAGATAGAGAATGCTAGATAAAATATCATGACAGGATCTTCAGTTGTTTTTCGATCAGCTGCTGTGCCTTAACTTGATGCCTTGCATTGTCATCTTCTCAGTCGAGATTTCGTAAATTGAAAGTCTGGTTGTTTTTTGTTGTTTCTTTAGTTTGACATATCGATAATTATCCCGCAAGTTATTTCAAATGTCATGCCGCATGCAATACCGCACCTATTCCTCCTTGCACTGCGCTTAGCGGTATAATGGAGTCGAGATGATAATTACTTGTGTTATGCTTGAAAGAATTAATCCACATGCAATTTATTTAACCAGTTACTGTACCTTTCCGCCTTATAGCCGGACTAACCGCCTAAAGAGAAAGCATGCATTATAGTCTTTCGCTCTGCACGTGTCTTATAGAAATTAAACTTAAGCTTTCATTCAGTTACACCAGTTCTGCACTTCAAAATACCTTAGTGATCCTTAGTACACTTAGCAGGAATGAAATAATCATAACTGACTCAGTGTGAATACCTTAATTACTCCAACTAAGTAAATCGTTTCAATTTTTACCGTGAAATCTCATCTTTCATGAAACCTTCCTCCACAAACAGTAATTGATGCATTAGACTCTTGTAGACGGCAGGACTCAGGGTCTCGGCTGTGATTTCCCTTTTCTTAGGAAGACAGTACGTCCTTGACAAATGTTCTGCCTGAACAGCCTCGCTTGTCCCATGAACGAACCTAACCACTTCCATGGAAACTTCGTCCCAGACGGCTGGTGGAGACGTAGTGGCATGCTCCGGGACAATGGACGTTTGAGACAAGGACTCGCTCATTACATCAGCGTTCAGCCTCTTTACCAAGTAAGGCTTTTTCCCAAAGTCGAATAGAACCAGTTGCTCAAAGCTTCCATACAGACGAGATTCGAAAGTGACAGTCAGGGATACTTCCAGTCGTCCAGAAGGCCGGTTTGTTCTTGGAGATTGGTACCAGGTATCATTGAGCTTGGCTGTGTAACACAGCTTGTAACTTTGATGACTTGGGGTATCTTGATAGCATCTCACTCGAATGTCTGACAGTTGATAGCAGTTGTGGTATCGATGAAGTAGAAGGACTTGCTCTAAGTATCCTACTTCTAGCGTCTGCGAGAAAGAAAAGATGGCGGTATGTTTAAAGATACATCGCTTTTTTTGTCAGTGGTACCAACAGTTTTCAACCCAACCTCACCCGTTGCTTTACCTATTTCCAACGTTGAACGTGAATGGTACCAATTCCTCAATAACTATAGAGAACTATAGAGTTAGAACAGGTTACCACCCTCTCGGAAATGGTCTTTCAATGTAGAGTCTATAGAGGATTTCTCTTTGGAACTGTACCTATTCATCTGGAATATGAATTATAACATTACAAGCACTTTTATATCTCCAGATTCACGCAATACTGTGTTTTAAAAACGTCAACCACAGAATCATAATTTCCTCTCAAGCTGTGCAAAATAAACATGGCAGCGCGCTGAAAATCTGACATCCTAAAACAGCAGATGCGAAACGCACAGCAGTCAAAACAGGAAAAGAACCGGCGCTGTAACAATTTAACGCGAACACCAACTTGTGGATGATTTGGAACAAAACTGCTTCTTAGCCAAGATTCTCTTTAAAGTATCGTTAATGTTTAAGAAATAGAAAACATGTACCGTGTTTCTATCAAGTTATAGAAACACGAGTGGAAGTTTGGGAGAACGAGAAATGCTGTGGGAACACGAGCCGCAGGCGAGTGTTTCCACAGCTTTTTTGAGAACATGTTTTCTATTTCTTTTAGAAAACACCGCGGCGAAAAAAAGGAAAACAACTTGGTTACTTTGATTATCAAAATGTAAATTCTCTTTAATCACGCCATCATTACGTCAACAGCTCGTGCTAGTTCTGTGTTTCTGTCAAGTTATAGAAACACGATTTTTAACCAATCAGCGCGCGTATTTTTTTAGGACTGTTTTCTAATTATATATATTATGCGTGGAATTGAATTTCACTGACCTTGAAAACAAGGCTGAATGTCCATTGGAACTTGTGTGTTTCATTCTTGTCTTGAAGTCTTATATTCAATTCGGGAGGTGCGCAGGTAACCTCCACCCCTGACAGATCTTCGACTCGCTGTTGACAATAGCATAAAAATAATCAGTCCAGTGTTCACACAAGCGGTCAATCACTCCTGTGGAAACCCCTTGTGGAAATCGATCACGCGGGAGCAAGTTTACACTCCCCACTCCCCGCGCTAATCTGCCATGCCGGCCATTACTCCGAAGATAATTACTTAACCCGTTGAGCTTCGGGAAACGCTGCTCCTCGCTTTTAATGAAAAATGGACTACTGCCTTAAGACTGAACATCAAACCTGATACGGCTTAATAGACCCGGAATTTCCTGAAGTAAGATGAATGGAATTAAAGACCATGTGTATAGCCATAAGCAAGCAAAAATAATTTCAATAAAATGTTACTGTTTGTTTTGTGATCTTTTCTGGGCAATCACTGAGAGAGTGATAAATCAATAGTAAATGCTCTATAAAAGATCACTGCAGTTAACAGGGCGGCTTAAGCAGTGAGCGAAAATAAAGCCTGAAAACAAATTAAAACGATCGTAATTCGAGGACATGACCCCTGTGATACTGGTGCTGTGCTCTACTAACTGAGTTATTGAGCCAACTTGGGGCCAGCCTTATATGTTTTTATCCCCTCTGGGACTCTGTTTCATAGATTCGAAAAAAGAAGAATACAAAAAAAAAAACAAAAAACAAAAAACATAATAATTAGTGACTCACATCTTTTGCTGGTCCTTTCAAAATCTTTGATGCCATTTCCAAAGAACATACTTCTTCCTTCTCCTCGAGTTCCTTTCTAAGTTTTTCCTTCATCTTCCTGTCGTACTCTTGTTGCCATTCTTTTAGCTCCTCAGGGCTATGCGCAAAGATACACCCTCTTCCATATCTGCATCTCTCGTGTGTATAAAAACTGTAAATGAAGATAGGTTTGAAAATACGTTTTACTTACAAAGGACGAATGTGTAGCATATCGATACAGCATCTTCTAAGTTATTATGGTGTAAGTAAAATATATTTTTCATACCTTTTGCATATTCTATAGGAGCCATTTGTCACTCCTGGTGGGGAGGGTCTGTACCGTAGTTGTACTGCAGGTTGCATTGTCGAGGATACAGGTCGCATACTCCCAGAAGAACCAGTGAGAGTCTCACGAGGAGTAGGAAGAACTAGTCAATTAGAGGTACAAAGTCACCATTATGCATTTTTCATTTACAGTTAAGAGGAAGCAGACATAATTATAAAATGCTCTACTCAAACTGACGTCAAAATAAATTTCCAATAAATCATAAAAACTCGACTAAAAGTCAGCTTTTTAGTCATTGAACTCGTATTGATCGATTTGTGTTAATAAACTTTAAATGTATCAGTGCTTTCTCTGCAAATAGCTACATAGTACAGATGTGATCGAGACATTATTTGTGGAAATATCACAATCTATCATCTTTTTATTGCGACCAAGTATTTCGCGAGTTGTAGAATTAACGTTGGGAGTTGGGAGTTGGGAGTTGGGAGTTGGGAGTTGGGAGTTGGGAGTTGGGAGTTGGGAGTTGGGAGTTGGGAGTTGGGAGTTGGGAGTTGGGAGTTGGGAGTTGGGAGTTGGGGTTGGGAGTTGGGAGTTGCGAGTTACGTTTCGAGTTGCGAGTTGTGGAGTTGTGGAGTTATGGAGTTGCGAGTTGCGAGTTGCGAGATGCAACGATATTACTAACCTGTCTAGTTATTCAACCGGATTCTGGCGGCCCTGACTGTGACCAGATCAACAGGGTTGCACTGTATTTCGAAGTTTGGTGACCTTCGCATTCAGAAAGTGCTACCACTACGCTGATTAATTTGTTAAAGTCTGGCTTCACTTAAATGTAAGAGAAAAGCTTATCACTAGAAAAGATCGGGTGACTGAGATGATGTCTCGTAACATTTTTTTGGATTTGTCGACAAGTTTGACATTTCTGTTGGGCCAGAGATTTTCCAACTTGTCGTGTCCAACGTCACATTAGGATACTGTTGAGAAGTGAATTATTCGTTTACTTGCTCCCTTTGATGTGAACGAAATAAAATAATAATTTATAATTTATAACGCGCAGACTTCCAGCAATGCTCCGTCGCGCATAAAAATTGCACAAAAACCATAATACATTAAAAATTTAAACGTGGAGGAAAAAATGACATAATTTTAAAATACGTTGTCGGATAAAACCACGAAACGATCTGAAATAAATAATATATTATTTTCCTTTTTGCCAAGCGAGTGATCGGAGTGGCCACATTTAAACCAGGTTAAATTGAAGGAAACGTGCTGTCAGTTACGTTTAAATGCTTGGCCAAATGCGCGCGATTTTAATGCGATATATATATGTTATTGAACTTAGTTGAGGCCCGTATTGGAGAAATATTGGTCGAGTTCCTTTTTTCGCAGATTTGTGGACCGAGCTCATATGTACTTTTAATGAATCATGAACGATCGCAATGCGCCCGGCAAAATTTTCCCCATTTAACAGCATCCAAAATAACTTTTTTTATGAATGTATCCCAATATTTATAATCATAGACTGGAGTCTGACTGAAGGAATAATTTTCTTTTATGTTAACGCGTTGATTCCCCTATATTTCGCAATTCGCAACTCCACAATTCGCATTTTCCCCTCTTCCCCCTTATTCAACTTACCTCCTTCCCTTTCCATGGTCCACATGTTTAATTCTAGTTGGCCGTGAGCAAATGAGCACGGAGTCTTCAGGCATGGTTTATTAGACACGTACTGCGCACACTCCTTAAACGCAACTTTTGCGGAGACTTCAGCAGGATATGGCCTTATTAGCTGCCATTGTTTGCTGTTGTCACTCCAGACAGCGTACTTCAGTCTTGAACGATTCTCGCAGCCTTTACAGGCTTTGGTCTTCTCGTAGATGCTCGCTGGTCGTTTAAGGTTTTTCCAAAGAAAGTCATCACACACGACATAAACTCCTTTTGGGATCTTTCGAAAATCATTGTCGGAGTTCGACGACGGTACAGAACCAGTCTTCGACGGCGGCGCTGCAGGGGAGGTCATAGTGGCTGGCTTACCAGATGGCGGAAGTGGTGTAGAAGGTCTTTTATACGGTTCAAAGCTTGTAGACTGAGCAGAAGATGACGTATTGGTAGAACTATCTGCGGCGGAGCTTTGACATGGAAGACGATTGTGAGCCACGTGGGACGTCACGTTAGCGGGTGTTGTTGAAGGTACGACTGGCGTTGAAGGTCTCCCAGATGATTCAAGACTTGCAGAAGTCGTAATGGTGCGTTCGCGCGAGGCTGAGACTGCGGGTGCAGAAGGTTTCGCAGATTGTTTAACAACTGAAGACCAAGTGGGAGGTGTAGTACTTTTAGAGCTAACTTCAGAGGAGCTTTTAGACGAAACAGCTTCTGTGCGACCCACGTGGGAAGTCGTAATGGGTGGGACTGGTGTAAACGTTCTCTCAGATTGGTTAAGGATTGAAGACCGAGCAGGAGATGTGGTATCTTTAGAACTATCTGCAGGGGAGCTTTGAGACGAAACAGCCTCTCTACGACCCACGTGGGAATTCGTAATGATGGGTTTCTCCATAGGTGGGACTGGTGTAAACGTTCTCTCAGATTGGTTAAGGACTGAAGACCGAGCAGAAGATTTGGTGCATTCAGAGCTATCTGCAGTGGAGCTTTGAGATGAAAAGGCTTCCAAGGGACCCTCTTGGGAGGTCGCAACGACGGGTTCCTGCCACGGAGGCACTGGTTGAAAAGATCCACCAGACGTCTCAAGGGGAGAGGACCAAATCGAAGTATTGTTAGAGTCACCTGTAGTAGAACTTTGGGATGGAACAGCTTCTAAGCCAGGAAATCCATTCACAGTTGAACCACCAAAAGAGGCCACCGAAACACCTATATTTTCAGCCGTATGGAGTGGCATGCTATTGGTACCATTTTCCTTCACCACAGGCTCCATCATCATGGGGGCTGCTGCAGTATTGGCCCGAAATAACTGTAGACTTACTTCAGGGGAGGCGAGAACTATTAAAAAAAAAATAGAAATGTGTAACAAATGTAAGCCTCTTCGATTGTGAAACCAAGCAGGACAAACCTATAGACCGTTTTGTCGCATATTAATGCTATTAATTCCGATATTCACTAATTATTCAAAAAAATCGTTTCTTTATCCCGTTATGTTAACAGGTCAACAGAAACGTTTTGCTACTTTTGAAACGTGTTTTTTTGTTCAATGAAAGCCGTTAACTTGCAATGTTAGAGAGAAATAATTCGTTAAATAATTTGAAATATTACACTTGATTTGATGTATACTCGACAGTATTACACCTAACCTTCCCGTCGTGGGCTGCATTGATTGTTTTCGTCTCTTTATTTTCTATGGTATGGTATAAATTAGTTATGCAACACTTTGTTGTGGTATACCGTGGAATTCCCACTGTATTTTAATTTCTTGTATACTGATGAAGAAAATACAAGCAACTCGTGGGACATTTCATGGTATACCACTCGGAAACTTTGCATAACTCGTATTTTTACTTACGGCCTTGTCTCTCTAAAGTCCACATGATTGTTTCCTGTTCCCCATGAGGAAATGTACAGGGTTCCTTTAGACATGGCCTATTAGAAGCAAAATGCTTGCAGACATCAAAAGTAGCTCTCGGTGGAAGTTTAAATCGGGGATAAGGCCTCATGACTTGCCATTGAGAGCGGTTGTTGTTCCAGGCAGCATACTTCAGGATACCGCGCTCTTCACAGAAGTTACAAGTCTTGGCTTTTATGATATTCTGCAGGAAGTGCTCGCACACAACAAAGACACCCTCGGGAATCTTTATACGACCAATTAACCCAGGTGGTGGATCCACACTGAGCGTTCTTGTCGCACTCTTGGTTTGGAAACTTTGGGAAAATGTGACTGGGTTAGAGGACCGGTCAGATTGTCCAGGACTGGTAAAGCAAGCAAAACCGGTNTAGAAGCAAAATGCTTGCAGACATCAAAAGTAGCTCTCGGTGGAAGTTTAAATCGGGGATAAGGCCTCATTACTTGTCAGTGGGAGCGGTTGTTGTTCCAGGCAGCGTACTTGAGTATACCGCGCTTTTCACAGAAGTTACAAGTTCTGGCTTTTATGACATTCTGCAGGAAGTGTTGGCACACAACAAAGACACCCTCGGGAATCTTCATAGGACCATTTAACCCAGGTGGTGGATCCAAACTGACCATTCTTGTCGCACTGTTGGTTTGGAAACTTTGGGAAAATGTGACTGGGTTAGAGGACCGGTCAGATTGTCCAGGACTGGTAAAGCAAGCAAAACCGGTGGAACTGCTTGGCTGACCAGGTATCCCATGGAAAGACATACTTGACAATTGTTCATTTGTTGCCTCAATTCTCGGTCGAGCTTCACCTTGAAATGGGCTGAAGTTTGGAAGCGATGCGTTAGGCTGGTTAATATTGAGCCAAGCATTACCAGAAGCGCCCATATGCATTGAGTTAGGAGTCGGTCTGTTAATATTCCCTTCTGGTAAGTTGGGAAACTCTCCGAAACTCAAGGACCTACGGACTTCAGACGTGTTCGCATTATCCTCCTTTCTGAAACCACTACTGGGAGGTATACCCTGAAGCTGGGATGTGCTCGGTTCAGGCGTCAACGGAAGTGCGTTAACCTCCGCAACTGACGGAAGCTCTTGGCCATGCGGCGCATCAATCCAGTCAAGCCCTGATGCCCTCTCCCCAAAATGCTTGTGGACACCTAATGTACTAGCACTAGCTTTTGCAGTCGAGAGGACAGGGCGACGAGTATTCTGCACGGGTATAAAGTCCCCACCGTCCGAGTCTTCGTCTTGGTTGAGTCCCAAGGTGCTAAATGCAGTGTTTGAGGTGGTAAACGACGCGTTTCTGCCTCTCATTGTGCTGCTGCAGTCGGACTGATAGTCTAAGTAGATATCCGGGTCTCCGAGTACTGAGTCTGTTGCTTGGGAGTCACCCTCATCAGGGCTTTCATGAGGTGATCCTTCTTCCACGTTGCTTGCTGGTACAGCCTGATCTGTTGATACAATTGAAAACTAGTCTTTAGAAATGAGCGCGGACATTGCTTTTAATTGAAGTTCAGGGTTGCTATGGAAAGCGCACTTGGGAAGATAAAAAGGAGATCGAGAAGGATCCATAAAGAAGGAAAAGCGAAATGCCGAGCTCACAGGTGATAAAAATAAAGAAAATCATCAAATGGGAAATATCAGATATACAATAAAAACTCGCTTCCTCCAACTCGGTTATGTCGAACTCCCTGGTCTCAAATAATCTTGAACTCAAATAACTTTTCCTCGGGTAAACTTTTTCAGTCATATACTATCGGCTTTCTCGGACCGCCAATGTCTCGAACTATTTTCGTTTCCCTTAAGAATTTGAGATAGTGGGGTTCAACTGCATGCACATCACACCCTTGGAGCAAACATTATTAGAAACGTAGGAGAATTTTGCTGATAAAAATGACAACACTAACAAATGCCATTTACCTGAAGAACCTTCCTTTAGCTGCTGGGCTTTTCTCTTTTCTTTCTTTCTCTCTTTCTTCTTCCTGTTTTTCTTCTTCCTCCTTTCTGCTTTTTCTAGAAGATATGAAAACAAAAAGAAAAACATAAGTTGAAACTATTTCAAACCGTTTTCATGTGTTGAGATGCTTGAAACAAATAAAATCGCGGAACGGAAAATAATACCATGTTCTTTTGCTGCCGCGTATTCACTTTGCGTTTGATCTGAGTCCGCCATCTTTTCTAGTACTGTTTAAAAAAGGACCATCATGAATTTAATATCAATTGGCGCAGAGTACTCATACTCATTCGGGCAAGTATAAAATGAACATGACAGGTAACTTACCATCAGTTATTGCAACAGCCAAAGGATTCTCTTCTGTCACTTGTGAAAGCTGCTCCTGAATTATAAATATAAGGCACTGTCTTATTCAATGATTATTAAAAACTGGATCATTGGATAATGCAATTTTAGACTGTTCATTGGCTTAGCCATCATGGGTTATGAGGCATTATAATATGCTCTACAAATATGGTAAGTGTCCGCGTTATTTCTTAGGGAGATTTTATTTCTATTTTATTTTAGTTTTCTGCATTTTAAGGACGTCGTTAAAACAATTATTCCACTCACGCTTGTTGGATATGAGATGATTATAGCCAACGCGGCGCTACGCGCCTTGTTGGCTGTCTACCATCTCATATCCAACAAGCGTGACTGAAATAATTGTTAATTATATGACGGTGTTGAGTTTCATTCTGGCCCAATCCCCCACTTTGGGGGGTGGGGGCAAGAAACTAAAGAAGTTGAGTTTTATTAACACTTGTAGAGTGGCAAGGAATCGATACGCAGGCACCATCGACAGGATGCTTCTGTATTTAAGTAACCAAAGCATTATGGGAGGTAAGAGACGTTTCATACCTTTTCCTCCGAATTCAATATGACATCATTATCAGGTTTGATCTGCTTACTGTTCTCGACAGGAAAACTCGCTGGCGATGACTCCACCTGTGAAATAAAAGGTATATTTCCAATATTTAGGTGGCTGAACATAGTAATCAGGAAAGGCTATGAGCGTATTAGTGGTTGGTATTGTAAAGTCTTAAAGCATTTTCCATTCAAAGGGAATGTGAATTCTGGATTCATTAGCATAAAGCCACAACACGTGGAAAGGAGGGCCACTGTATCGAGTAATATCAGACCTCTCGTTCCTGAATATCTCACACACTAAACACTAGACCACCCCAACATGGACGATACCTGATCAGTGGTGGTGCGTAACGAAGATTGTATGTATGTATACGTAATTGGCCACTCCCCATCGGGGCTTTTCAGGACCAATGTAAACAAACAGTTATAAATGAATATTCAAATAAACATAACTAGGTTAAGAATCCCAACTGACGGGAGGCAGACCAGTTGGCTATTTACAAGGGTAATCGAGAAGTTGAACTCGGGGCTACCGAGAACAAGATCAGCTAGCGGTCAGAACGGGATTTGAACCCGGGACCAACGGATTTCAAATCCGGCGCTCTAACCACTTGGCCACGCTGCCTCCAAGATTCCGGTCTCCGGAAGCATAAGGTAGCTTGTTCATACTCTTACTATTGGTGCCAGTGTGTCATAAGTTTTCCCATGCATAAATACGATGTATTGCCTCCAGTTTACCCCTTCTCCCCCATAATGACACTGCTTGGTGAAGAAAGAGTGTAGCTGGTAGCGCATCACTGACTGTAATCGACCTCTCAAGACGCAATCTCTGGGCCTATCTACTCTGCTTCCCATTAGGCCTAGTGTTTCTAGATAAAACGGATTATTTCAACCTACATTTATATGTCTCAGATGGGAAGCATTCTCTCTTTCATGTTCTCTGGCATTTTCCTCAGAATCAGTCGTGGCGTCATCGTTGGTCTTGATCTCCCCAGGTTCTTCTCTTGAAAAACTTGCTTGCGAATCAACCTGTGAGGTAAGTTAATGAAAAAATGCACGTAAGAAACACGATTTAGAATTGAAATAATTCCTGTAGCACGAAATAACCACGCTGGATTTTGCTTCATCAATTTCCTTTTGAATGACATACTCAAATTGATAGTAGGTTTCCTTCTGCAGCATTGCCCCATGAGTAGTTCACTCGTACACATTCATCCGTACTCCTGGCGCCTGTATGAAACAAAGTTACGATGGGGCAAGTTCTTCTGGTCTCAGTGTCCCAGACTATATGATTAAGTGGTTCCTGCTTTGTCAGAAACCACGGGGGTTTACACTACAATGAGACCTCCTGTCTCAATAACACCATGCACCTTTTACAGGATTTACGCCAAAAACTATTATCCTTTTCACAATCTACACACTGCTAGCTATTCCGACGAGGAACTTAATCATATTTCTCACCTATCTGATTTTATATGAAATAAACAGAATCTAACTTATTGTAACTTAATAAAAGCCTGCAGGGCCAGCTACCCCAGACAATAAGGGTTGGCTGTCCATAGATGATGCTGCTGGACCGTTAATTTCTATTTCAGATGACCATCTTTTGACCGCATTCGTCTTTTTCTGTGTGAAAGAGAAAAATTGCTCCTTTTTTAGAAGAACTAATGGCGGGAAGAGGTGTGGGTAGATACTGCTCGCTCCAGTTTTTNCAACTCTAGCGCAGTTGTGAATCACTTGCACTAAACGATTTAAAATAGAGCAGTGTTCAATTTAGGCCCCGTCCACACTATGCCGGAGAAATCTGGAGGGAAGGTTCTGTTTGAGACTTTTTATGTAAGAAATGGCCAAGGAAACTCGCGTTACATACCTTTTGCACAAGTATCCTTTGCTTCTTCGTATCTCCCCTGATATTAATAAACAAAAGCAGAAGTTAATCCTTCGAAAAAAATTTTTAAGATCAATTACTACAAAGACCTTTTTAAAATATACACTCTTAACAATAGTCTTCAGTATAAATTGTAGCAGTCGATCTTTACAGTTTGTGCATACACTAGCTTCAGTTAGTATTAATCTACTAGCGTTCTATCACGTATATATGCTGTTCTCTGATTGGCTACGCTATGCACTATCTATTCTGTTGTATATAGCGAGTAGCCTAGCAGTGTGCGCTTGTTAACAAACTGGCGGCCGCTACTTTGCGTTTTCGAAGCGTCTGTGAAGAGGAGTAAGATAAAGTTTTGAATGACTAGTAAATTTACACTAAAACAATTAGATTATTCCATTTCGATTTCTATGCGTGATAGTTAACTTTAGTTGACTCGGGCCTCGCCCTCGGCAACTGTCGGGCGATAAAAATCTTGAGCTGATAATTTAATTGTTAAGTAGTTAAATAAAGACATCATGAGAGAAAGGATACTAAGTGATTTTAAAGCTTTCTATTTATGAAATAATTAAAATTGTTACCAGGTTCATTAGGATTTCAGCCTGCCTTAATAGAACTCCATGTAGAAACATAAAGTTTAACAAATCCAGTAACTCAGTGTAACT